TGATCACTCACCTAGAGCCAGACATCCTGGAATGTGAAGTCAAGTGGGCCTTAGAAAGCATCACTATGAACAAAGCTAGTGGATGTGATGGAATTCCAGTTGAGCTATTTCAAATCCTGAAAGATGATGCTGTGAAAGTGCTGCATTCAATATGCCAGCAAATTTGGAAAACTCAGCAGTGGCCACAGGACTGGAAAATGTCAGTTTTCATTCCACTCCCTAAGAAAGTTTCAGACTAGCTACTGCTTTAAAGACAAGATGCTCACATTGCCAAGGTCAAGGGCAATACCATGAAGGTTGACACCTCCCAAAGGCAGGCCAGATCAACCATTGTCAGAATGAACCTGCCTGTGGGAACATCTAACCAGTGCAGAGGTGGGCTGCCAGGTTAAATTCCGAGGGCTTTGTAGCTCACAGGAGCTGTGCAGCTCACCAGCATCACCATTGCCCTACAACCTGGATCTTTTAGTGGAAATTATTCCTTATCCATTCAACTATCAAGCGGTTGTTGAACCTGTACTGTATATGAGACTTTAGAAACTGGAGCCAAGATGTATAATTATCAGTCCCTGTATTGAAGATATGTCCCACCTGGCTATGAAGACAAAACAGATGCTTTGGCAAATATATAGCAACAAAAGTTTTCTATATTAAGGGACAACTAATCATACAGTGGGCTTTCCCAATGGCTCAGTGGGTAAAGAATTCATGTGTGATGCAGAAGACATGGGTTCAATCCCTGGGTTGAGAAGATTCCCTGGAGGAGGAAATGGTCAACCCACTCCAGGTTCTTGCTTGAAAAATCCCATGGACAGAGGAGCCTAGTCCAGGGCTATAATCCAAAGATCACAGAGAGTAGGACATGACTGAGTGCCTAAGCATACACACAACCATATAGGGCCCAGATGTCTGAGTGAGTGTTGGGGGGATATAGGATAAATGAAGAGGAGCTAAGGAGCCTCTTGATGAAACTGAAAGAGGAGAGTGAAAAAGCTGGCTTAAAACTCAACAGTCAAAAATGTAAGATCATGGCATCCGGTCCCATCACTTCATGGCAAATAGATGGGGAAACAATGGAAATAGTGACAGATTTTATTTTCTTGGGCTCCAAAATCACTGTAGATGGTGACTGCAGCCATGAAATTAAAAGACACTTGCTCCTTGAAAGAAAAACTATGGCAAACCTAGACAGCATATTAAAAAGCAGAGACATTTTTTGCCAAAGATCCGTCTAGTATAAATTATGGTTTTTCCAGTAGTATGGTTTTTCCATGTATGGATGTGAGAGTTGGACTATAAAGAAAGCTGAGCAACAAAGAACTGATGCTTTTGAACTGTGGTGTTGGAGAAAACTCTTGGAAGTTCCTTGGACTGCAAGGAGATCCAACCAGTCCATCCTAAAGGAAATCAGTCCTGAATGCTCATTGGAAGGACTGGTGCTGAAGCTGAAGCTCCAATACTTTGGCCACCTGATTTGAAGAGCTGACTCATTTGAAAAGACCCTGATGCTGGGAAAGATTGAGGGCAGGAGGAGAAGGGGACAACAGAGGATGAGATGGTTGATGGCATCACCGACTGAATGGACATGAGTTTGAGCAAGCTCCGGGAATTGGTGATGGACAGGGAGGTCTGGTGTGCTACAGTCCATGGGGCCGCAAAGAGTCAGGCACGACTAAGTGAACCGAACTGAGGATGAGGATGAGCGGCAAAGTAACATCAGCGGAGGGTGTGGTCAGAGCAAACATGTGAGATCATACAGTCACAATAAGGACAAGTGGTGTTGCCTGAGCTTGAGGTGGGACACAGTTCACCAAGGAGAAAACACACTCACCAGGACTAGACTGGGATGAGTGCTACTTGGCAAAAGGAAGGGTGAAGATGGTGGTTTCAAGTTGCACTTCAGAGGCATCCAAACCCTTCCTAATTAGATGAATAGTTTTTGAAGTATTAATTCAGGGGGAACTCGCCCTGGTTCCTCCAACATCACTTAAGTCTTGAGTTCCCCCTTTTCCCCACTCATTTCCACAGAAGTCCCCCAGGTGCCAAGTCCATACAGTAAAGGGAAAAGAGAAGGAGCCTGAATCCCAGTGCCCCACTTAACAACTTGAGATTTTGGGGAAGTTACTTGACTTCTCTGAACCCTAGTTTCCTTGGCTGTAAACCGCTGAGCATGGCAGAGCCAACACGAGGGGTGAATGTGGAGCCCCACACATGGCCTCTGGGAGAGTGAGCACTCAATCAGGGGGAATCAGGGGAGTTTTGTTTGTTTCTGGCAAAGCTCTAATTAGAAAAGAGGAAAATATGGGACTTCTCTGAAAGTCCAGTGGTTGAGACTTCACCTTCCAAAGCAAGGTGTGTGGGTTCCATCTCTGGTTGGGGAGCTAGGAGCCCATGTGCCTCGTGGCCAAAAAACCAAAACATAAAACAGATGCAGTATTGTAACAAATTCAATAGAGACTTTAAAAATGGTCCGCCTCAAAAGGAAAGAAAATGTGACCATCTGAGAGATCTCTGGCACAAATATCCTGCTCTCCAGAGAGCCCCTCAAGACAGGTGAGCAATATGATGACAAGTATTTCCTGAGTGCTAACCCAGTGCCAGGCACCACACCTGAGCACTGACAAATCTCCTGATATCCCCTGTGATAGCTGATGATGACTCTCAAAGATAAGTCCACATCCTAATCCCTTTCTTTGGAGAAAGAGTCCTTGCAGATGTAATTAAGTTAAGGATTATGAGATGAGAAGATGGTCCTAGATAATCCAATCCTTGTGGTCCAAGGGACTCTCAAGAGTCTTCTCCAGCACCACAATTCAAGAACACCAATTCTTTGGTGCTCAACTTTCTTTATGATCCAACTCTCACACCCATATATGACTACTGGAAACTAACTTTGACTAAATAGACCTTTGTTGGTAAAGTGATGTCTCTGCTTTTTAGGTTTGTCTAGGTTTGTCATAGCTTTAGTTCCAAGAAGCAAGTGTCTTGGTTGCTCCAAAAATGTTCTCATAGGAAAGAGATTAGACACACACAGGGGAGATGATATGAAGATGGAGGCAGAGGCTAGAATGATGCAACCACAAACCAAGGATTATTAGCAGCCCCCAGAAACTGAGGCAATGGGTGGACTCTCCCTTAGGGCCTCCAGAGGAATTGCGAGAAAGTCCTGCCAACAGCTTCATTTCAGACGTTTTGCCTCCAGGACAAGGTGAGAACAGACTCTGTTGTTCTAAACCACCTAGTTTGTGGTAATTTGTCACAGTAGCTACAGGAAATGAATATATCACTTCCCCATGCAAGTACTGTCATTATCCCCATATCACTGATGAGAAAATTAAGGGAAAAAAAAAAAGACTCAACTGGGACTCCCCTGGTGGTACAGTGTCTGCCTGCAAATGCAGGGGACACAATTTTGACTCCTGGTTCTGGAAGATTCCATGTGTGGCGGAGCAGCTAAGCCAGTGCGTCACGACTACTTAGGCCTGCATGGCTAGGGCCCACCAGCCACAACAAGAGAAGTCACCGCAATGAGATGCACACTCAGTTTAACTCAGTTTCTCTACTCAACCAAAGTAGAGAAAGCTTGCATAGCAATGAAGGCCCAACATGACAAAAATTAACTTTTTTCAAAAAGATTTAATTACTTGCTGAGTAAATAGAGCAAGAATCCGAGGCCTCTCAAGTTAATGCCAGAGCCCCACTCATCAGCAGGCCAGGCTATTCTGGCATCTTGTTAAATTTCTTTCATAAGAGTATCAAGCCCTCATTTATTTATTTTTTTAAATATGTTAATTTATTCGTATATACATTCACTTTACATCATTACATTCTACCATACATCAAAAACTAAAGAGTTTTTAAGAATTTTTCAAAGTCCCGTACTGATGCCTTGGCCATCCCTTCACAAAATATTCCATCAGGCTCAGATACCAATTTGTCTAAAGAGATGTAGTTAGGTTTTGTCGAGTCATATTGTGCTCTTCCTAAATAGGCAAGAAACAAATGTCTTTCTTTGACTTTAAACAACCTTGTATTAAATACCTGCGGGAACCTGACGATGATGTGGTGGGGCACGCACATCACGTTGTGCACGTAGTCGAAAATCTCGGTGAGTTTCCTTTTATTTGCAGTCAGCATCTTTGGGATTTTGGTGATCATGTGTTGAATTTCATTCTGCTGAAAACCTAGTTCAAGCTGAAAAACCTTCATATTTTCCTTCACAGGCTCCAGTCTTCCAGTTAGTAGCCTTGGGAGACGAATTACCAGATCTCGAGTCTTCTTCACACTAAGTTCAAGTTCTTTCTGAAAAAGCCCAGTCTGTTATCCAATCTCTCCACTGAAAAACTCAGAAGAAATGGTGCATTTCTGACCATCTGTGCAATATCCGCCTTACTGAAATTTTTTGACTGTAGATAAGCCACCCTGGTCTTCAGATTTTCAAGGTCTTCAGAGAAAAAAGCATAGTTTTTTGTCAGGAATGGTCCCAGTTGGGTATCCTCTATGCCCAAATCTTTAAGAAACAGGAGCATTTGCTTAATGTCTCTTTCAAAATCCAGTCGCAGGAGGAGGTTGGCTGCATCGGGATGTTTTTCTATCTTGGATAAATCCACTCCTAGAAGCACGAACTTCCTCAGAGTCTCGGAATGATCCACATAGTCTCGAAGTGTGACTGAAGATGGGGGCAAAGGAGGGCCTGCGATAATCTGAACAGCCTCCTCATCAGAAATCGGCTGCAATGGGGACAACGGAGGCACATCGTCCAGTCCTTTGCGGCCAGGATGTGGAAAAGAAGCAAGTTAGCTTTCCCATCTGTATACGTAGACGTTCTTTCTACAAAGGCAGTCTCTTGCCTAGTTTGCTTCTTTTTAAATCTTGGCATCATTTCTGAGTTAAACATCTAAAAATTCCATATATTTTCTACCTTCTAAGAGGTAAGGTTAAGACTATGTAGATAACAACTACTATTCCTCCAAAGTAAGAAATTTGCTGGTGAAGTCCTGTACAAAATTCCTTTCCTTTTCCTTCACTTGTAATTAACAGGTGTGAATGCTTAATGGCCTACAGTACATTCTGAGAAAGATTGAGTCTACTACCATAGCTTGTTAACTCGGCCAAAAGTACAACATACCCTACCAGCCTGATATGGGTTAAAGTCATCATATCCTGAAATGTCATTTTGATCTGATCATTTCTCCTCCAAATTATTCTCAAATATGTCTGTAAGAGGATTTCCACGATTCTGTTTTCATCACCCGCAATCCTCTGCCACGGAGTGACCCTCTCTAGTACAGCCTTGAGTCAGGTTTTGTTACGGCCCTAGTGGTAAAGAACCCCCTGCCAATGCAGAAGACACAAGAGACACGGGTTCGATCCCTGGGTCAGGAAGGCCCCCTGGAGGAGGGCACGGCAGCCCACTCCAGTATTCTTGCCTGGAGAATCCCATGGACAGAGGAGCCTGGCGGGCTATAGCCCATGGGGTCGCCAAGAGCTGGACACGCTGAAGTGACTTAGCACGCAGGCACCCAAGTCAAACACAGTATAAAAGACCCTGGGAACTGTAACCCACCTGAGGCTAAGGAATCAGAGCTTTGACTTTTTGTTCTATTTTTCTGTCTCTCATCACTACCCTTTCTCATTTCTCAGAGCCAGTCTCCCCTCGCGGACCTCACCCCCCAGCTCCCTTGTGTTTATAATCTACTTAACCAAACATTATCTCATCTGCAGTGAAGTATTCCTTGCATAGGAATATTCCTAGAATGGGAAGCACAGGCAGGAAAAGAGTGACTAAAAAAATTGACATGAGCAGCTTTTTGGGGTGTTCTAACTGTTCTTGTTGTTCTATTTGTTGACTGTGGTGGCTGCTACAGAACTAAAAGCACAATGTCAAGATTCATAAAACTGTATACTCAAAAAGGATGACTTTTACTTGAGTAAAATTACACCCTAATTAGGTATATAGAATAGGGTAAATTAGGTCCTAGTAAACCTTTTTAAAATATCTAAATAAAGAACATAGAAAGCAAGAGCTATTGGCATAGTTAAAATAATCTAAAACATATTAATCTAAAAACTTTTTTCTTAGTCATTAAGTCAGAGGCCTAAAAAAAAGCAAGCAGATTATTGCATAATAGAAGCAAATGAATAGAAGTGGATTGTTCTTTTTCTTTCCTGACACAAAGTATGACTTGAAATTGGCAACAAGATATAAACAGGTAGCTTGTTCAAACGACCAAGGAGAGGCAAAGGTGAGTTTTCCGAAAGCTGAAAATTACCTTCTAGAGACATCTCAGAATCAAGGCCGGGTATCTTTGGTGTCCTCTGTGACGGCTCATTCACGGAAGGAAGCAAAGTGCTTTGGGCACAATTAATCTCTTGCCTACTTGAGTCGGCAGACTGGGAACTATTCCACAGGGAGGAAGTCCTGTAAGTCCTAAAACCCCACTGGAGAAAGCAACCCTCAGAGGACACATGGGGCTGAGCAAAAATGCCACACGACAATGTTGTTCCTGGTCTCTGAAAATGTTTTCTGAGTTGCAGAGCAGTCATGAAGCTACTCAACTTACTTGAGTTGAGCCATCTGGATATCTGTTGGGCTGACAGGACCATTTTTCTTAAAGTTGCCTATAAAAGAAATACATAACCATCAAAAAAGTGAAACTTACTTCACTTAAACATTTAAAACAGTATTCAAACCACAAAAAGATAAACTGGAAATTATTTTTGCTGCTTAAAAGGTGTTTATTACTTTAGATGACTAAAGCAGTCAGATGTTTTTAAGCAAAGGAAAAGCAAAAAACAAGGCAGTTTCAGTTACAAACCAAAAGGAACTTCTGAACTGGAAAGATAAAGATATGCTTTACAATTTAAAAACAGAAAGCAAAGTCAGTGGCATGAGAAAAACATCTAAAAAAAATCTGTAAATATTAAAATTACAGCTGAACCTGTTAACTTAATATTTAAAGAAAACAAGGTGATGCAATTAAGTGCTCTTTTTTTTTTAAGTGCTCTTGAAATTTGATTTAAAGGACATTTGAGAAGCAGATTGCTGATCAAAATAACACTGAATTATTCAGATGCATTTTATCTATGTACATTAGTCACAAAAACAAGAATTCTACTTAGTCTTAAGTGAATCATCAAAATATTATCATTGTAGAAGGTCATTTCTTGCTTTATTCTCAGGGTTGAGCACTATTGATTATTTCACAGGTAAAGCTGTTCCTCAAAAGAGAATTGAACAAAACCAAATTCTGTTTGACTGCAGGAACAAAGAAAAAGACTTTCAAAACAGAGTGGTGGGGTGGGGTTCAAAACTAATAAGCAAAATCGACAGAAATGTATTACAAGCAACCAGCAATAGATACATGTATATTTTGACTGAAAAACTGGTTGCTTATAAAGAGATTTTTTTATCAGCAAATGACTTTTATATTTAGCCAGCTTAATTAAAGAGTAAACGATGCATTTTTTATATTAAATAAGACAATCCATTAAAATATAGCATAGAGTCCAGCATGTGGAAAATGCCCAACACATGTTAGCCATATAATAATCATTATATTCACTGATTACACAACTAAACATAAATGAGTTCGGATTTAACTGTTGCATACAACTTTTTGATTTGTTTCTCTCCATACTGAATTTCAGCTTGTTTTATGTTTGGAATTAGACCAAATAAATGCTTCAGGGTCTAAGCTCTTCTTGGAGCTTTAGGGAAGTCTCCTGAAAGTAATATATAAAAGTGAAACGTCTCCTTGTCATTCTGAAATGATTTTAGGAAGGAAAAACGGTATTTAAAGAAGACTTATATGAGTGATTTTTGTTAAACTCTGGTGGGAAATGAGCCTCCAAATCTGTCGTGTTTTTCCTCAAAGCTACAACATTCATTCTCTGCACAGCAGTGTCATAAGGGCATTCAGCTGGAAGCCAGAAGACCACAATTATGCTACTTGCAGATAAAAGTTTCTCAAGGTGGTTCAGCATGACTGGACCATGATGAGGGATTCAATAACCACTCTTTAAAAGGCAAGTTTTTAAAAGGTTATGGGTACAATAAGATGATTCTTGAGCTCTAAAATGTTCTGACTTCTCAGTTTGTCCAAGCATTCTGTCCTCCTTCAAACTCCTGAAATCCCCAATTCACTTCAAAGCCTCTTGAGCCAGGCTCAAATCAAAGCTCTCCCCACTACAAAGGAGGAGAGGGTGAGATGTATGGAAAGAGTAACATGGAAACTTACGTTACCATTTGTAAAACAGATAGCCAACAGGAATTTGCTGTATGGCTCAGGAAACTCAAACAGGGGCTCTGTATCAATCTAGAGGGGTGGGATGCGGCGGGAGAAGGGAGTGGTTCAGGAGGAAGGAAATATATGTATACTTGTGACTGACTCATGTTGAGGTTTGACAGAAAACAACAAAATTCTGTAAAGCAATTATCCTTCAATAAAAAAACAACAACCCCAAAACTCTCCCCACTTCAGAACGATCCGCTTTTGCATTCTACCCATGTTCATTACAAGGTCTTTATGTAAACAACTAATGTTTATCCTTCTGTTTTTCTTACAATCGCACTGTCTTTGCTACATCATTTCATCGCCGTGTATACTTCTGACAATTGATTAATTGTTCGTTCACTAAAGCAGGGCTCTGTCTTCATCCCTGCATGCACCCTCCCAAACTCTGTATCATCCCCCCCATCCCCCGCCCCTTGTCCCAGAGCCTCGCAAGGCTCCCCTGTTTTCTGGGCTGAAATGAATCGGTTCGCAACTACGGTGAACTCATTTGCTTACAAAACACTTAAAATCCGGTAAAGGCATCTGCGTCTAAAGACAAAAGGCTTTAAAAGTAAATTTTGAAACCCACTAACACATATAGACTAGTTCTCCACTGAACGCCTTAGTAGTTTCATTGGCGCTTAACTACATTCGACGAGCGTGCAAGATTTCGACCTCTGTCTGGGAGGCTTAGATCAGGAGATTGAAAGATGGGGAGGAGGACGGTTTCGGAATCAGGGACCTCCGGAACACGGCTTGACCCCCCAACCCCGCTCCCCCGCCTCAGGCCATTCTCCCAAGTCCGTTTTAGGTTCCCCAAACCCAACTTCCGGAGGAAACCCCCCTCGCCATCTAGACCTCCTTCCGCGTGCCCCCCCGCCCCAATCACCCCGCGCCCCCACCGCCCGGGCAAAGCGTGCTAAACACACAAGCGCCGCGGCGCGTCCTTTTCACCCGCCCAAGGGAACAAAACATCGCTGACCCTCGGCGGGGCGGCGAGGCCTACAGGGCCACGCGGCTCCGGGGCGCGGCCTAGAGCCGAGGAGGAGGAGGGTGGTGGGGGGGGCCCGACCGGGAGCCCCCCGGGCAGGGAGCGCTCCCCCTTTACCTGCGGCCAGGCCGACGCCAGCCTGCCGGACCCCGCAGGCCGCCCCTCGGCGCGGCTCTGCCAGCCGGCGTTCGCTAGCCTGCCGGCCCACGTGGGCTACGGCCGGAGCGGGCCAGACCATCGGCGCGGCTGCGCGGGTGGGGAGCGGGCGGCGCCCGGCAGGAAGGACAGAGCCGGCCGCGGGGGGGCACACGGTCTCCATCCCCCGTGGGCGCCGCAGACCCTTCCGATGGGCCTGGAAAGGCGCCGCGCATCCCTGCGGACGCCCCTCCCGGGGGCCCGGGCCCGGCAAGCCGGGTCCACCCGCCGCCCGAGGCCACGTTCGTCCGCCGCCCGCTCCCCCACCCCAGGCTCCCAGCCTCCGCGGGCCGGGGCCGCGCCGTGGGACCGGGAGGCGGGCCATGGCGTCCTGCGTGGGGAGCCGGACCCTGAGTAAAGATGATGTGAACTACAAAATGCATTTCCGGATGATCAACGAGCAGCAAGTGGAGGACATCACCATCGACTTCTTCTACCGGCCGCACACCATCACTCTGCTCAGCTTCACCATCGTCAGCCTCATGTACTTCGCCTTCACCAGGTGCGGGGCGGGCCGGGCGCGCCCGAGGGCGAAGGGGAAGGGGCTGGCTGGGGATGCGGCGGGGCGCAGGGGGGCGGGGAGAGCCATGGCCGGGAGAGGAAGCGGGCTCGTTCTGCTCCCCGCGCGGGCTCGCCCGCCGGCGGCTCTGTCCCCGAGCACACCCAGCTTCGCTCCCCTACCGCTCCTCGGGGACCGGCGCTCGTCCCTTCCCTGCGACCCACCTCCATCCTCCACCCACCCCCACGCCTGTCCCCATACCGCCTCTCCCCATGCAGCGCCTCGGGCCACCCCGGGAACACGCGTGGCTCCGCTGGCGCGATCGCCCTCCCTTCCTCCTCCCCGGCTCCCAGCCTCGCTCCCCTCTCCACGCATCACGACACCAGCCCCCTCCTCTCCGGCCTCCGTCCCCGCCTAGCACACCGCATGAATCATTGGTATGCACCACTTACAGCACACATGTCCCCGCTGCAGACACCCCGGTCTACGGGCGTCTTTCACGCGCCTTGCCCAGGCCCGGGACACAACCCAGACCCCTTCCCCGCGGAACTCCTCCAGGGTTCAGCACTACCTGCCCACAGAATGCACTCCAGTGTGCGTTGCACGCAAGTCGCCTCGCATAACCCTTCCCGCAGCCCCAAACACGACCGCCTGTACCACAACACAAACTGCCAGCCATGCGTACACATCACAGCCAACATGCCAGTACTGCCACACAGACGCCAGCCCATCACGCATCACACGGTGCCTGCTCTGTTCCGTTCTTACCCTGGCATGCGTGCTGAAATGAGACATTGTCAGGCCACTGGAGCAATGCCCGGTGCGTTGCAGATGCTATGGAAAAGGTTAAATTAAACAGTCACACCACACACACTATAGCACAACTCTCTTACCACCTGAAAACATACATGCACACACACTCAAAACCCTTCTGATATGCACTTGTGCCTAGGAGCTACCCCGCCCAACTCTTGTTGACCCACAGCTTATAGCTACCTCACTGAACATGAGGTCCCTCAGCCCAAGTCAAGGAACTGATTCCTGCCTAAAGGACCAGGTACACCTTGGGTCCTACTTTTAAGGGCTTTTATTTTCTGAATGAACCTCTTTAAGGAAAGAAAATGTGTGTTTATACCAACCATGCTTAAGCACTAACTTAGAGATGTGGAGTTTTGGAGCCAGACTGTTGGTCGCAAGACTATTTGTGTGACCTTGGTTGAGTTGTTTAGCCTTTCTCTGAGCCTCAGGATTCTCCTCTGTATAATGGGGATAAAATAAGTCCTTACCTAATATGGAATTATAAGGATTAAATGAACATGTGTGAATGTACTTAACAGAGTACCTGGTACATGATGTATAATTAATGTCAGATCAGTTCAGTTCACTCAGTCGTATCCAACTCTTTGCGACTCCATGGACTGCAGCATGCCAGGCCTCCCTGTCCATCACCAGCTCCTGGAGTTTACTCAAACTCATGCCCATTGAGTCAGTGATGCCATCCAACCATCTCATCCTCTGTCATCCCCTTCTCTTCCTGCCTTCAATCATTCCCAGCATCAGGGTCTTTTCAAATGAGTCAGTTCTTTGCATCAGGTGGCCAAAATATTGGAGTTTCAGCTTCATCATCAGTCCTTCCAATGAATATTCAGGACTGATCTCTTT